ACCATAATCTAAGCCACATCTATTGAAACTACTACTCATTTGTCCCTGGATGATTTACCAGAGGACTGATCCTTCATTCAACTTCATTTTCTCTTTGATCACCATCATCATACCTTATATATTTGCAATGTGCACCTAATCGTTGTATGTACTATATACTAATTATAGCTGTATATAAAATTTAAGTAAAAAACTATTATGCTTGATCAAGAGAACTTTCACACACAGTATTTTTTACTGTAATAGATACCTAAGGCATGTATCCCCTATGAATGAAGAGGTTTGACTGAAGATTAATCTCAACTTCATAAACAGTGATTGCATTTTAGTAAAATTAAGTATATTCACCTTGATAATTGTAAGCATTAACAGCCTGAGTCAGTGCTGAGCGTGTACCATTAATTGGTCTAGTCAAAAGTGCTTCAAGACAACGGTGGTCCTGCAATTCTGCAGCACAATGGATTGGTGTATTTCCTTGAGAATCAACAATGCTGACATCACATCCCAAGACAGCCACCAGTCTCCTAACCATTGTCACTTCATTGCCACGAACAGCTTGGTGCAAAGCAGTCTGAAATAAAGATCCTGCATAAATATGGGGATAGGAATGTAGCGGTTAACAGGGCCATTTAACTGTCACGTCCATGTACATCTGGCAAGGGACTTATTAAATGAGCAATAATGAATGCATTTCATTCTTTGGATTGCAGTGTTTGGTGGGAAATGCCTGGTGCAGTAAAATTAATAGTATATGTATACCTGAATGCATAGATATAGGTCTGTATATGTATTTTATGTAACATATCACATATGTAGGTAGTAGGTTGGTAGATAGCAACCACCCTGGGAGGTACTACCGTCCTGCCAAGTGAGTGTAAAACGAAAGCCTGTAATTGTTTTACATGATGGTAGGATTGCTGGTGTCCATTTTTCTGTCTCATAAATATGCAAGGTTTCAGGTACGTCTTACTACGTCTACTTACACTTAGGTCACACTACACATACATGTACAAGCATATATATACACACCCCTCTGGGTTTTCTTCTATTTTCTTTCTAGTTCTTATTTTTGTTTATTTCCTCTTATCTCCATGGGGAAGTGGAATAGAATTCTTCCTCTGTAAGCCATGCGTGTTGTAAGAGGCGACTAAAATGTCGGGAGCAAGGGACTAGTAACCTCTTCTCCTGTATACATTACTAAATGTAAAAGGAGAAACTTTCGTTTTTCCTTTTGGGCCACCCTGCCTCGGTGGGATACGGCCGGTGTGTTGAAAGAAGAAAGATGTATACCTGAATGCATAGATATAGGTCTGTATATGTATTTTATGTAACATATCACATATGTAGATAGTAGGTTGGTAGACAGCAACCACCCAGGAGGGTACTACCGTCCTGCCAAGTGAGTGTGAAACGAAAGCCTGTAATTGTTTTACATGATGGTAGGATTGCTGGTGTCTTTTGTCTGTCTCATAAATATGCAAGATTACAAGTACATCTTGCTACTTCTACTTACACTTAGGTCACACTACACATACATGTACATGTTTATTTATACACACTCATCTGAGTTTTCTCTGATTTTATCTTAATAGTTCTTGGTCTTATTACTTTTCCTTTTATATCCATGGGGAAGTGGAATAAGAATCTTTCCTCCGTAAGCCATGGGTGTTGTAAAAGTCAACTAAAATGCCGGGAACAATGGGCTAGTAACCCCTTTTCCTGTAATAATTACTAAAAAGAATAAGAAGAAGAAAATGGTCAAAGTGGGAAGTCTGAATGTGCATGGATGTTGTGCAAATGATAAGAAAGAGATGATTGTGGATGTTATGAATGAGAAGAAGCTGGATGTCCTGGTTTTAAGTGAAACAAAGCTGAAGGGGGTGGGAGAGTTTCAGTGGAGAGGAATAAATGGGATTAGGTCAGGGGTTACAAATAGAGTTAGAGCTAAAGAAGAAGTAGCAATAATGCTGAAGGATACGTTATGGCAGGAAAAGAGGGATTATAAATGTATTAATTCAAGGATTATTTTTTTTTTTTTTATTATCACACTGGCCGATTCCCACCAAGGCAGGGTGGCCCGAAAAAGAAAAACTTTCACCATCATTCACTCCATCACTGTCTTGCCAGAAGGGTGCTTTACACTACAGTTTTTAAACTGCAACATTAACACCCCTCCTTCAGAGTGCAGGCACTGTACTTCCCATCTCCAGGACTCAAGTCCGGCCTGGCCCAGGTTTCCCTGAATCCATTCATAATTGGTTACTATGCTCACACTCCAACAGCCACGTCAAGTATTAAAAAACATTTTGTCTCCATTCACTCTATCAAACACGTCTCACGCATGCCTGCGGAAGTCCAAGCCCCTCGCACAAAAACCTCTTACCCCCTCCTCCAACCCTTCTAGGCCGACCCCTACCCTCCTTCCTTCACTACAGAATGATACACGCTGAAGTCATTATGTTTCGTCCATTCTCTTACTTGTCCGAACCACCCTCCACCAACCCCTTTCCTCAGCCCTCTGGACATCAGGTTTGGTATCCGCACTCCTCCTAACTTCTAAAATACGAACTTCTCTGCATTATATTCACACCACACATTGACCTCAGACATGACATCTCCACTGCCTCCAGCCTCTCCTCGCTGCAACATTCATCACCCCAAGCTTCACACCCATATAAGAGCGTTGGTAAAACATACTCTCAAAACATTCCCCTCTTTGCCTCCAAGGACAAAGTTCTTAGTATCCACAGACTCCTAAGTGCCACCACTCATCTTTTTCCTCATCAATTCATGATCACCTCATCGTTCATAGACCATCCGCTGACACGTCCACTCCCAAATATCTGAATACGTTCACCTCCTCATACTCTCTCCTCCAATCTGATATTAATCCTTTCATCACTAATCTTTTGTTATCCTCATAACCTTATCTTTCCTGTATCAGCCTTTATTTTCTTCTTTTGCACACCCTACCAAATTCATCCACAATCTCTTGCAACTTCTCTTCAGAATCTCCCAAGAGCACAGTTTCAACAAGCAAAGAGCAAGCTGTGACAAACTCCACTTTGTGTGTGATACTTTATCTTTTAACTCCACGCTTCTTGCAAGACCCTCGCTTTACTTCTTTACAACCCACATCTATAATTATATTAAATACAACCACGGTGACATCACACATCCTTGTCTAAGGCCTACTTTTTACTGGGAAAAAAATTTCCCTCTTTCCTACATACCATCAACTTGAGCCTCAACTATCCTGTATAAACTCTTCACTGGGCTTCAGTAACCTACATCTACACCATTAACACTTGAAACATCTGCCACATTGCCCCCTATTCACCCTGTCATACGCCTTTTCCAAATCATAAATGCCACAAAGACTCCTTTAGCCTTATCTAAATACTGTTCACTTATATGTTTCACTGTAAACACCTGGTCCACACACCCCCTACCTTTCCTAAAGCCTCCTTGTTCATCGCTATTCCTATTCTCCGTCTTACTCTTAATTCTATTTCAATTATAACTCTACCTACACTTTACCATTGTACACTAACAGACTTATCCCCCTAGAATTTTTGCACTCTCGTTTTTCCCCTTTGCTTTATATAAAGGAACTATGCATGCTCTCTCTGCCAATACCTAGGTACCTTACCCTCTTCCATACATTATTAAAAATTGCCACCAACCACTCCAAAACTATATCCCACCTGCTTTTAACTTTCTATCTTTATCCCATCAATCCGGCTGCCTTACCCCTTTCATTTTACTACTGCCTCAAGAAACTTCCCTCACCACTCACAACTGGCTCTTCCTCACTCCTACAAGATGTTATTCCTCCTTGCCCTATACACGAAATCACAGCTTCCCTATCGTCATCAACATTTTAAACAATTCCTCAAATATTCCTTCCATCTTCCAATACCTCTAACTCTCCATTTAATAAACTCTCCTCTCCTATTTTTAAACTGACAAATCCATTTGTTCTCTAGGCTTTTCTTAACTTGTTAATCTCACTCCAAACTTTTTCTTATTTTCAACAAAAATTTGTTGATAACATCTCCCCACTCTCTCATTTGCTCTTCTTTTTACATTGCTTCACCACTCTCTTAACCTCTCTCTTTTTCTCCATATACTCTTCCATCCTTGCATCACTTCTACTTTGTAAAAAACTTCTCTATGCTAAACTTTTTCTCCCTTACTACTCTCTTTACATCATCATTCCACCAATCCTCATCTTCCCTCCTGCACCACTTTCCTGTAACCACAAACTTCTGCTGAAACACTCTAACACTACATTTTTTAAACCTACCCCCATACCTTCATAGACCCCATTGCCTATGCTCACATTAGCCCATCTAACCTCCAATAGCTGTTTTATCTTACCTAACTGCCTCTCTTTTAGTTTATAAACCTTCCACCTCTCTCTTCCTGATGCTTTATTCTCCTTGTATTCCACCCATCTACCTTTACTCTCGTGTAAGCTACAACTAGAAAGTGATCTGATATATCTGTGGCCCCTCTATAAACATGTACATCCTGAAGTCTACTCAACAGTCTTTTATTCCAATACATAATTCCAATCAAACTACTGTACATTCGCCTACATCATATGTGTTACTTATTTATCCTCTTTTTCTAAAATATGTATACCTATACTAAAACCCCTTTTCTATACAAAGTTCAATCAAAGGGCTCCCATTATCATTTACACCTGGCACCCCAAAACTTACTTACCACACCCTATCTAAAAGTATTCTCATACTTTGCATTCAAGTCCCCTACCACAAATCTCTCTCACTTGGTTCAAAGGCTCTATACATTCACTTAACGTCTCCCAAAATTCTCTCTTCTCCTTGCATTCCTTCTTCTCCAGATGCATACAGCTTATTAAGACCCCTTCTCGCATCCAACCTTTACTTTAATCCAATAATTTCTTGTATTTTACACATTCATATTCTCTTTTTCCTTCCAAAATGTCATTTAACATTACTGCTACCCCTTCCTTTGCTCCTAACTCGCTCAGCATACTCAGATTTAATCCCATTTTTTCCCCACCAATGAAACTCTCTACCCCCTTCAGCTTTGTTTCGCTTAGGCCAGGGAATCCAACTTCTTTTCATTCATATCATCAGCTATTCATCTGTTTCTTTGTCATCCGCACTAGGTCCACGCACATTTAAGCAACCCTGTTTTATAATGTTTTATTTTCTCTTTTTTGTAATGTATACAGCGTGAAGGGGGTTTACTAGCCCATATGCTCCCGGCATTTTAGTCGCCTCTACGACACGCATGGCTTACGGAGGAAAGATCTTTTCCACTTCCCCTTGTCCATGGACAAATAGAAGAAATAAAAAAGAACAAGAGCTATTTAGAAAAAGGAGAAAAACTAGATGTATGTATATATATATATGCATGTGCGTGTCTGTGAAGTGTGACCCCAAAGTGTAAGTAGGAGTAGCAAGATATCCTGATATTTAGGTGTTTATGAGAAGAAAAAGAAACCAGCAATCCTACCATCATGCAAAACAATTACAAGTTTTTGTTCACAGTCATCTGGAGGACGGTAAAAGT